CAACCTCCATGTTGAAACTTGCTTCTGCGGCTGCTTATATAATTTGTGCTGGTTAAATGCCACAACTCAAAGGGGGAGAGGGGCCGCCATCTGGCTCTATAGGGTTATGGTTTTAAGGGTTAAGGGTTAGGTCTGGGTCTTGGTCGAGCGGAAGTGTCAAAAGGTTAAGCTGATTGCAGATCGATTCCGGCCGGAAACCGCAATGAAATCAAAGGACAACAGGCTCACTTTCCCAAAAGTAACCTAAACTTTCCTCAAGGTTGTGTTTGAAGAAAAGAACAAAGTTTTGTTTTTTAGTTACGGGAGTTGCATAATTGCCTGTAGTTGGAGGTTAGAGGTTATGTTTTTTGAGGTTATGAGGTCAAGCGGACAAAGGTTTTGTGCTTTGTTTGGTTTTTCTTTTGGTATTTTTTTAGGCTTTTAAAAAAAAGACTCTTTTTAGTCGAACCACGTTTAGTTTTTGTGGATAAAACATGGGACCTAGTACTTTTTTAAGCTATTTGGGTTTTAAATAATAAACAACCTTTGTTCGAAACCTCCAATTCTTTGTATCTATAGCCTTGAAAAAACCTAATTTACTTTTAAAAAAAATAAATAGAAGTACAAGCGGACGGGAGAAATGGTATTTTTTTGAAAATTTTTAGGTATATTTCTGGTTTAAAATAAAAAGATGTATGTAGACGATGACTATATGTATATATGTACATAGATATATACACTTCTAAAGCAGAGAGTATTTTTTTGTGAAAAAATAAATAAACGTATAAGCGGACAAAAAAATTATGGATAAGAAAATTTGACCTTTTTTTTATTTTTTTTAGCAACTTTTTGGCCCGAAATAAATAGACTTTAAGAGGCAATTCCATAAAAAAAATTATCAAAAAGTAAAGAGATTAAAAAACAACTTTAAAAAATAAAAATATCTAGCCTTTCATTTTGTATAGCTATTATATTTTCGCCTACAGTAAATCGCATTAAAAGTAAATCCATCCAAAATTAAATATATCTACTAAATGTTTTTTGACAAAATCATATTATAATGCAAATATAATAAAAAAAAAATTAAAAACAAAAGAGGTTTAAAAAAAACTTTAAAAAATGTATAAGAAATAAAATAAAAGAAAATCAGGTCAGCCGTTTGTTATAAAAATAAAAGATGAAAAAAATAAAAACCAAAAATAAAACCCGAAAATATTGAGGAGCTAGATGTGGAGAGTTCGGCTCCACACCAGGTTCTGATGGAAATCACAGCCTTCTCGCCTTTAAATATACTTGGGTCAGGGCAAAAATTACCTAACACCACCAAGGGAAATGAGTGAATTCCATAAAAAAAAATTATCAAAAATAAAAGAGATTAAAAAACAACTTAAAAAAATAAAAATATCTAGCCTTTCATTTTGTATAGCTATTATATTTTCGCCTACAGTAAATCGCATTAAAAGTAAATCCATCCAAAATTAAATATATCTACTAAATGTTTTTTGACAAAATCATATTATAATGCAAATATAATAAAAAAAAAATTAAAAACAAAAGAGGTTTAAAAAAAACTTAAAAAAATGTATATGAAACAATAAATTGAGCCCCTCAACTTGTACAGTTATTATAACTTCACCTGCAGTAAATCGTATTAAAAGAAACCATCCATAATAAATATTTTAATAATAAAAATCCATCCATAATAAAAAGCCTAAAAGCCGAACTGTTGGCCAAGATAGTGCCTTGAAACCAACGCCAAGTTCCACCTACCAATTATCCAACTTTTTAACAAAATATGGGGATCATTTTTAAGAATTTATGACGCAGAACTAGCCATTCTTCAACATTCGTGTAATTCACAGAAAGTATTATCCATCAAATAAATATCCATCAAGTTATTCGGAAGTAATGGGAAGAAATAGGAAATAAAAAAAAAATATAAGAAAATCAGATACATAACCCACAAGTATTCAATAGGGATCTTAACAAAATGCCATACTTTGAAGATTCCATAAAAAAGATATTATAAAAATATAATAAATATAAGAAAATCAGGTCCAAGAAAACCAATCTTGTTAAATAGAAGGCAAGATTTAAAAATAGAAGAAAAAGCATACAAAATGCCTAAAAGAAATACAAGAACCCAGGAAAAAAAATAATTATAATATGTATATATACAATTTAATATATATATTGTTTTACCTAGGATGCCAGCGTTTATCAAGAAGAATAAAATATAAAAAAAATAAAAATAAGAAAATCAGATTAAACAAGACACAGTTCGAGTAATCGATGATATAATCGTTGCAAACGCAATAAACTTTAAAAATTTCATAAAAAAAAGTTTAAAAAGAAATAAAATAAAAGAAAATCAGGTCAGCCGTTTGTTATAAAAATAAAAGATGAAAAAAATAAAAACCAAAAATAAAACCCGAAAATATTGAGGAGCTAGATGTGGAGAGTTCGGCTCCACACCAGGTTCTGATGGAAATCACAGCCTTTTCGCCTTTAAATATACTTGGGTTAGGGCAAAAATTACCTAACGCCACCAAGGGAAGGGAGGCGTTATTTGGATCCATAGTTTTCTTAGTCTTAGTAAATGGTCACACTTTTTAGGGGCTTAGAGATGGAACTTTTTTTTTGTGAGTTTGGCGTGTTTGATAATTAACTTTTAAGTATTTTTAGTTTCTTTGTTTCAAAGTTTTATAATTTGTTACTTTAAATAATGGTATAAATTGTATAGCTATTATAAATCACCTATCGTGCATCGTAAAAAAAAGGTTTACAAAAATATAATGAGAAAAGTGAGAGAAGCCCGAGACTTCAGGTCAAAAGTACAACAAAAACATCATTAGCTAGGTCGTGGCCGCAGATTCCGGCTCAAAGGGAAAAAGTTGGTACCGCTTTTTTTTGGAGCGAGGGGTTGGAGGTCGGTCGGTGGCTGAGGTTTCAAAACTCCCACACCCTCATAGTCCTTTAACGGCAGGACTTTGAAAGGGCAGTTCGAAAAAAGTATACATATATACATACGTTTGTATATGGAAGTGAACTCTTGCGGCATCTGAGTTATGGAGAAAATTTCATTTCAACTTTTGCATAATTTTATGCTCATTATGACAGCAGGCAGAAGAGGCAGGGGCAGAAGGCTGGGCTATATATCCCGTCGTCGTCCTAGCAAGGATGCGGCAAGTAAATGCGGGGAAATACTCATCGGCAGCGAAGCGAAAAGCGACTGTCCCTGGACAGTGGCTTTAATTACTTTGATGCATGATTTTGCTGCCATTTGCAATTTGTTGCCGAGGATAATGAGCAGGAAGAGCTGTAGCTGTGGAAGAAGACTTGATTTCCCTTCCCCACCAGCTGCCACACAGGATATCGAGGGACGAAGGATTCACACATGAGCTGTGTGCTCATACGCTAAAATACTCTTTTGGGGTGAATGGGGCATACTCGGAAATCCGAGCATCGGAGCGGTAAACAGCTCTAAAAATACTTCTACCAATTAATTTTTGCATACGAATCCTGTGAGGATTCCTGATTTTCCAGCCATCCTCCCCTCACCGTTCCCAGAATATCGTGTTTAATTCTAATTACATATTACTTTACCCAGTTTAGTGGGAAAAACGTAGAAAACGTGTTTTAGCATCCTATTGGAAGTGAAAGTAATTAAAACATAAGGTATTTAAAGGACAATTTTTTGTACTCGCTTTCCAAAAAGCCTAAAAGACAAACTGTTGGCCAAGCCACAGCTTTGTAACCAATGCTAAGTTCCACCTACCAATCATCCAACTTTTTAAGAAAATATGGGAATCATTTTTAAGACTTTATGACGCAGAACTAGCCATTCTTCAGCCATTCGTGTAATTCACAGAAAATATTATCCATCAAATAAATATCCATCAAGTTATTCGGAAGTAATGGAAAGAAAGAAGAATTTGGAAAAAAATAAGAAAATCAGATACATAACCCACAATCTTAAAAATGCTTTGAAGATTCCATAAAAAAGATATTAATATTATAATAAGAAAATCAGGTCCAAGACAGAATTTCTTGTTAAATAGAAGGCAAGATTTAAAAATAGAGGAAAAAGCATACAAAATGCCAAAAAGAAATACAAGAACCAAGGAAAAAAAATAATTATAATATATATATATAAGTAATATATATATATTTTTTTTTTGCCTAGGATGCCAGCGTTTGACAAGAAGAATAAAATATAAAAAAATAAAAATAAGAAAATCAGATTAAACAAGACACAGTTCGGGTTATTGATGATAAAATCGTTGCAAACGCAATAAACTTTAAAAATTTCATAAAAAAAGTTTAAAAAGAAATAAAATAAAAGAAAATCAGGTCAACTCGGTAAGCTCCAGTGATTAAATAAAAAAAAATATAAAATCAAAAATAAAACCCGAAAATATTGAGGAGCTAGATGTGGAGGGTTCGGCTCCACACCGGGTTGTGAGGGAAATCACAGCCTTCTCGCCTTTAAATATACTTGGGTGAGGGCGAAAATTACCTTCAAGGCGTTATTTAGTTCTAGGGGATTTTGATCCTTTTCTCTGAGTCTTAGTAAATGGTCACACTTTTTAGTGGATTAGAGATGGGCTTGGGGGCTTAAAGATGGAACTTTTTTGAGAGACATTACATTTGTTAATTAACTTTAAAATCTTTCTAGTTTATTTATTTTAAAAACTTTAGAATTTTTACTTTAAAAAATTACATATCTTTAAATTTTTGCTATTTATTATAACTTTTATATAAAATTAATATATAAAACCTCATAATTTTAGAGTTTTCCAGTCTCTTTTTAATTCTTGAATTTCCCGGCGTATTTCCCCTTAATTTCTTTCTACGAATTTATATTTTAATTTAATTCCTCATTTCCTCATTCAAATTACCCTTCAAGAGGGTACAAAGCATATCATATGTCCAAGTAGGCACGGCTGTGTGAAGCTGTGGAGGAGTATTGTGTTCTGTGTCGCTTATTGGATGTCTGTCTGGCTTGTTTTCGCTTCCAGCAAGGACACTTCAAAGGACGAATACGGTCGGTAAAGAGCGAAAAGTGAGCCAGGAGTCAGGAGCCAGGAGGACATTGCGCCGGACAGGAGGACAGGAGGAGCGAATTTCCCCGCTGGCGAGCAATTGAGCAATTGTGCAAAATGGGTAAGTGACAAAACCGACGAGCCACTAATGAACCACTCGTCCAAACACCAACAACAACAAAAAAAAAAAAAACGAGGAAAAAAAAGGATAAAAAGGTTGGCCCAGATTGGCCACTGGCCACACCGTTTGCATGTCCTTTCCGTAATGTCCTTTCCGTAATGATAATGAAGCCAACAACCAGGCTGGGGTGGGGTTTGTTTGCAAAGTTGGGTTATAGTCTTCAACAGAGATTCTCATTAGAAGGATATATATTTTTTCCTAGATGCTCTACGCTTCCGTGGATCACCGTTTGCCCGCTTCACGGGCCAATCAACCGGACCGGGCCATCACCGGCCACCAGCACATCCGCAACGTCCCCAGCCACCGGGGGCACCTGGGATCGTCGCTCCCGAGCCACTGATCGTGGTCGAGGAGTCGAACTTTGCCGAGGAACAGGATCCGGACAGCTCCGAGACCGTCTCGAATCGGGCCAGCCTGGACATTGATTCTCCGGTTAATCCGTATCTCTTGTCGCCATGGCGCGATCCCCGGGAGGCACGAAAGCACTCCCTGCCCTCCCAGCAGGTCACCGAGGGCATCACCGCCAGTCAGGTGCGTCGATTGTCGGAGCGCGGAGGCGAGGGTTCTGGTCCGACGCCCAAGGAGGCAGCCTTCCTGGCCACTTTGTCGCAGGCCCCAGCCCCCACCGGGCGGCGGCACTCGGTGGTGACCATTTCCAAGGTGCCAACTACATTATTTGGACGCTCGCGTCGGGAGTCGGTGGCCGCGTATCCCAACAGTAATAGTGGAAGTAGTCGGATTTTGAGTTCCCGCCGGGAAAGCAACACAGGCCCCCCCTCCACCGATCCCATCGGCAGCATCCACAACCTCCAGCTGGACATTATGGACGACATCTACTTGCAGTCGCGCAAGGCCCGCTTGAAGCTCTGGACCTCCTCCAACGAGAAGGTCTGCGAAGTCCAGACCGTCGACGAGGTGGGTGCCGCCCAGCCGGCCCGCCGCTTCACCAACCGCCGCTACTCGGAGTGCCCCCAGCCGGGCTTGGCCAGCTCCTTCCGCCGCTCCTCAGAGCTACCGGTCGCCCCACCCTCCATCCAGCCCACCCAGATCCAGCCTAGCACCTCCAATCGGGCCTCCACACGCCGCAAAAAGTCGGGAAGCGGTGGCGGACTCCTCGGCAGCCGCACAGACCTAGCCGGCATCTTTAGTTCCCTCACCAGTTCCGCGATGGACATGCACCGGCCAGAGCCGGAGGGTCGGGACGGCAGCTCAGGGGCATCAAGCTCATCGGCTGCCACCGCCAGCAGCCCCTTTCTCAGCCAGACATTCCAGGCCGCGGCCCGGGGACGAGCCACCAGCGCAACGCCGACACCAACAGCCCAGAGCGGAGCACAGGTAGGCCGGGTCCTTGACATGTCCCTGGGCAGAAGGATAACCTAACCTAACCCAAACCAATCATTCTCTTTCAGGCCGCCGGCAGCAGTGGTGGAGCTGGGGGTAGCAATGGCTTGCTGGATCCAAACGCCGGACGCTCCACACGCTCCAATAGCTTCGATGTGTCCTTGCTGAACAACGCCAAGCAGCTGGTGACCGAGGCGCAGGATAATGGATCGGCGGCCCTGTCCGGATGGTTTGCAAAGCGCCACCAGCCGATGGCCCGGAAGAAGAGTGTCCGCAGCAAGAGCTCCGCCGTGGCCCTATCCAAGGATGTCCTGGAGCGGCTGCAGAAGAAGGATCCGTTGGGCGGTGACTCCGGCAAGCCGAAACTAAAGCCACGCGCCAAACAGAAGAGCTGGGCCGATGCCACCAAGGCGAACATTGTGGATGCCACCATTCTGGGCACCGCCATCGAGGGTTTCCTGCGTAAGAGCTCCAATGCCAGTATGGCGGGTGGCACGGCATCCGGTTCTGGGTTGGGATCGGGCGCCTCAACATCGGCGGCGGCACGAGGTGCCACGCCCAAAACGGGCGGATCGGGCAGCGCCAGCGGCAGTCCAGCCCACAGCTCGCGACGGAATCGGAGCAGCAGCTCGGCCCAGTCGCAGGCCGGGCGAGCGGTGCGCTCCACCCTGAACTGGTTCGGCAAGGCCGACGAGGACGATTCCAAGGACACGTGCGACGCCTCGCTGTGCGCCACACTGAAGGACCTCTTTGTCAAATAGGTCGGGGGACGCAGAGGCAAGTAGAGCGGTGGGTCGCGTCCCAACTGAAGCAGCATAATGGTAAGTTTTTTTAATTCAAAATCGATTGCTTATCGATTATTTTGATTTTGATATTATTTTTTATATAAATTTGTATTATTTTATAATTATATTGGGTCCACTGCGATGGCTATATCTTCCCCAATTCTCGTCCGATTCTCAAGCGGAGTACCTTAAACGATTTCTAGATCGATTCGCCACCATTCTGCATCAAAATCCCGAGACAAAATATTTTTCAGATTTTTTGTCCATTTTTTCTGATGGGACCACTTGGAAATGCGGTTTCCCCTATAGGGTCCACTGCGATGGCTATATCTTTCCCAATTCTCATCCGATTCTCAAGCGAACTACCTTAAACGATTTCTAGATCGATTCGCCACCATTCTGCATCAAAATCTGGAGACAAAATATTTTTTAGATTTTTTGTCCATTTTTCCTGATGGGATCCCTGAAAATGGGGTTTTCCCCTATAGGGTCCACTGCGATGGCTATATCTTCCCCAATTCTCATCCGATTCTCAAGCGGAGTACCTTAAACGATTTCTAGATCGATTCGCCACCATTCTGCATCAAAATTCGGAGAAAACATTTTTTTAGATTTGTTGTCCATTTTTCCTGATGGGATCCCTAAAAATGGGGTTTTGCCCTACAGGGTCCACTGCGATGGCTATATCTTTCTCAATTCTCATCCGATTCTCAAGCGGAGTACCTTAAACGATTTCTAGATCGATTCGCCACCATTCTGCATCAAAATCTGGAGACAAAATATTTTTTAGATTTTTTGTCCATTTTTGCTGATGGGACCCCTTGGAAATGCGGTTTCCCCTATAGGGTCCACTGCGATGGCTATATCTTTCCCAATTCTCATCCGATTCTCAAGCCGACTACCTTAAACGATTTCTAGATCGATTCGCCACCATTCTGCATCAAAATCCGGAGACAAAATATTTTTTAGATTTTTTGTCCATTTTTCCTGATGGGATCCCTGAAAATGGGGTTTTCTCCTACAGGGCCCACAGTGATGGCTATATCTTCCCCAATTCTCATCCGATTCTTAAGCGGAGTACCTTAATCGATTTCTAGTATTTTCATCCATGTTTTGCGATTTATAGCAATTATGTTTAACCTTTCATTTATTCTTTATTTATGAATTAAGTTTAAAAATAATAACTTTTCTATTGGCATCAACTAATTTTCCATTTTAATCGATTTTTTTATTTTTATTGTTTATTTATTGGTTGCGTTGTTTTTAAGTTAATATTTGCTTTTATTTCCATTTTAATACACCATTTATCGATTATTTTGATAACTTTAATAGACAGCCTTCTGCTTTAGAGTGGAAACCTAAAAGCTTTATCAAATTAAACAACTTGAACCATTTATTTATTGAATATTATTCCGTTTCTTATACAGCCAGCTACTTGCACCTCTGAGATCCGAGAATCCTTATCGAAAATCGACAAAAAAAAACAAAAAATCGACAACAAATAAAAACGTAACAAACGAACGAACAAACGAACTAAGTTTGAAGCTGAAAAACACACACCAGTGAACAATAAATACAGCAGCTAGATAATAATAAACCATTCACACATAAAACACAATGTCGACTAGTTGAAAGCACAAAAACAATAGCATAGCATAGCATAGCATAGCATAGCATCCCACGTATTCGACAGAGAAGTTAAACCAATATTCAGTGTTTTACATTCAAATCAAGCCAAAACAAAAGAATATATAAACCATTGCATCCACAAAATAAATAATACGCCGACATCAACCGATTATCAGGACAGTTAATGGCAGGAAAATATTGGTATAATTCCGGAGAAATATTATGGCAGTTATAGCGAGAGGACCGTACGGTCTCTCCAGATTGGGAACAGATAGAGAACTTAGAACTAAATAGTAACTGGAACAGCAATACACTGAAAAAAGTATCACCTCAAATAGCAGAGCACACTGACACTGGAAAACTGTACCTGAAGAGCAACACGACGAAGCAACTCTGACAGTTATCGATAAACACACAAACACAATAAGCAAAACATAGTAACGGTGAACAATAACAGTACAAGCGAGTAACTAACGGTACAAGTAACTTTTATTGGTATGATAAGCGAAAGACGATTGAGAAACGATAAGCGATATATAGTGATCGATAGGCAGATATGTAGTTAAGCGATAACCGATAGGTTTAAGGCAAAAAAACGCTGCAGGGGAACTAGGAATCAGGAACTTGGTATGGTGAAGGAATGCGACCCAGGACGAAACATCTCACCTCACATTAATCCTCGACCTCAAAACGACGTGACGACAGACCTCATTAATATATAAAGATAACAGATAATATAGAAAAAAAGATAATATATATTCTCATACATTATTATAATATTTGTAATTGAAAAAAAAAGAAAATATATAATATTAATATTTGAAAAAAAAATAAAGCAAGAGAAGAGGGTTCAAACTCGAGCAGAGAAAGCATAAATATTTTTCTATGTGCTGAGCAATTCAGGGCAGGATCTGTTAAGGATATCCTAGCCAGGACATGTTTTTTTTTTTTGTATTTTTTGTGAAAAATATCAAAAGAAATACGCAGACATATGTATGAATGAAGGTTTAAAAAAGGCAACCTGCGGCTCGAACCTTTGCCATAAATACGAATATGAATATGAATACACAGTCACATCAGTCACACAATGAAAAATCAAGCATGATTACATGCTCATAAATATATAGATATATACATATATATATATATATATATGTATATCTAAACATTATGCGAGTTTATTTAAAATGATGAGAATAAGAAATAAATGTCTACAGACTCAAGAGTTTTAATCAATGTAAACCACACAATAAATGTAATTTGTATGTACAATCTGAGCTTACTCGAAAGCATCAAGGTAAATCCTAATAAATGCCCAACTAAATCGAGTTTAAAGCGTTGAATATTAAAATTAAATGTTGGCGTTGAATATTTAATGTTTAACATAAAATAATAACGAAAGCCAAAAGCGGAAAAGTACTTAGAAAAAATCAAAGCACAAGCAGAGTGTGTGTTTTTTTTTTTGTGGGGGAAGGGAAACGCAAAATTTCTCTTCCGGAAAAAGTTGGAAGGAAAATCAATTAAAGAACAAATTCAAATTGGAATTTTTTGCAAAAGAGGCTGGAGAGAGGCTGGATATTTTGGCAAACAAACAATCAGTCAATATTGCAATCAATCAAGTGTGTTTCTATATGCGGCATTTGGCTTTGTCAATTTGTCAATTTGGTCGAAAAAAAAAACTATGAATATGAATATGAATGGTAGGCTGGTTAGGCTTTGATGATTGGATTTATTGAATTATTATACATTATACATTATACATTAAAATAACTACAATATAATCAATGAATTATATCTCAATGTGCCCGAAAATGTGCGTGTTTTAGACTCTGATTTCCATGTGCGGTAACCCAAAGTTAACTTTCCACTTTCAGTGTGTGTTGATACTGATCTATATCTATACAAAGCATATTACTATACAATATATTAAATATATTTAAAAAGAAAAAATAAATACTATTTACAATCGCGTACCTTCTTGGTCGCAAAAAACAAAAAGATACTAAAGTTGTCCATGTTTTGCTCACATCACCTCCTAACTGTTGTTCTATATAATCAATCTATATATATATACAATATAAACTATATAACAATAAATGTGTACAAAAAAAAGAAAGAAAAAAAATTGGAAAAGCAAAAAGAAAGGCCAAAGCAACTCTCAAGTTCTATTTGTCCTATTTTTGATAGTTGTATATATAATTGTACTACACAGATATATATACATATACCGGAGATTATACAATATACTACCTGTGTGTGTGTATATGCCATATAAGAATATTACTATATGGATGCAAATGAAGATGCAATTTTTTTCGATTGTTTTAGCATTGAATGTGCATAGATGTATGACCTTACAAAAAAAAAAGAAAACATCCTACGTATTATCGTAAAAGTCTATAAAGATAATAATGCATTCCTTGGGGGCGAGGACCTTTGTAGAATCAGCAAAAATTCTAAAATCTTTACTGATTCTGATAGAGGTCGCTGCCCATCAATTGTGTCATTTGTTGTTGACGTTTGTTTTGATGTCGTGCAATTGTAATTACCGTTATTCAATTGTTGTTAAATGTTTATTCCAAGAAAAAAGAAGTTACAACAAAAAAAAGGATGTATCTTGTATCTTTGTATGATATACATCATAAAAGCGGTTACCACCGACTTACACAGTACTTTCGTAATGTTAAATGGCGCCCAACGTTTCTTAGTGTGTGGTCCAGTACTGTCCGAGAAAGAGATGGCAAGAGTTAGAGAGAAAGAGAGAGATTATGGAGGAAGATCTATAAGTTATATGAAATTTTTTTCGGGCGTTTTTCTGGGTGGATCTTACAAAACCCAGGGGGAAAAGTGGGCAAAACTACGCATAATCTAGTGAGTAAAAAATTAAAAAGGCAAAGGCATGTATCAACTATCACAAATATATATATGTATATGTACTTATGCCAAATGAGTATAACTAACTAAGATATATATGTATGTAAATAGAAAGGTTAAGAGACGAGCAGGCATACGTTTGTACATAATTATGCGTATATGTCGAATGGAAAAGGATAACACAGTAGCAAGGCATAGAGTTGTAGTTTTTTTTAAGCCAAAAAATCCAAAAAATGCAAACCCAAATGTAAAACAATCAATCAAGGACACATAATCTAAAAAAACAAAAGAGAAAAAATAAAATCTAAATTTGAGATTGGAAGGCAGGCAGGAAGACAGTAAGACACTTGGTTATAAGTATTTGTATATGTAATACTGTAATGCTCTTTAATAACACCACTTGCAACCAAAAGGATCCCCAGGATAACTAATCCCCAAGGAGGACAAAACATACAGATGAATGGTATTGGAATGAGATGGATGGGATGGTTAGACCGACCAGGCGAGAGTACTTTACCACACATACAAAATATCCAGTATACAGCTTAAAGATATACACCCCCCCCCATATACATTACCTATATACATCTATATATACATATGGAATATACATATTATATATACATACGGAAATAAATAGTTTATGTGTACAGATTGCTGTTGCTTTTCATTTTGAATTTCTGGTTGGGAGATATTGAAAGGATTTTCCGAATTATGATTGGCAGTTGGCAGTTTTACCTTTTTGGGAATTTTCGAGTTTCATTGTCAATGTCGGTTTCTGGTTTTCATTTCAATTTCCAAGACCGCTTCTTATGATTGATGGCCGGAATGTGAAAGCGCCAGCGGCGGCACAAAAATCTGCCAAGTGCACTGAGCCACCAGAGCCACTGGAACCACCAGAGAGAGAGCCACCATAGCCACTGAGCCGCTGAACCATCGAGCCACCGAGCCTGCCCGACGGCATCCAGTCATAAATCAAACATCCATCCAACCCACCCACCATCCAGTTCCATTTTCATTTTTCAGTTTATCATTCTCTCTCTCTCTCTTACTCTAGCTTTCGCTTTCTCTCTCTACCGCTATCGCCTTGAAGTATGCAACGCAAATTCGGCAGCATCGGCCAGGTAGCCGGGATTTCCAGTAGAGTGGCAGCACACCAAAAAGGGAGGCACGGTCACGGCAACAGGCATTAAATGTTAATGCGCTTTATGCAACGCTTGACTGGCCAAACAGCCAGCGGCGCCCCCAACATCTCCCACCAGGTAGCCCCTCAGTATCCCCATAGAGCCCCACTATTCAACATAACGGTATATCCCCCATACACACACTCACCCACCCATCCATAGCATTCGCTTCTCATTGCCCAGTGGACCTCGACCCTGGCTGAAATGGATCAATGGAGGCCATAATGGTGTTGCAAGTGGATACTCTATAATAATTTAAAAATAGATGATTAGCTTGTAGAAGGATCTAGGGGGGTTTTGAAGGTGTTCTATAGGTAAGATATTCTTCTAAAATATTTAATGCATTTTTGTGTCCGCCATTCTGCATAAAATCTTCTGCATCTACTTAGATAAACAGTAGTTTCTTCAAACTAAGCTCTTAACTTGGAAACTTGAATTCTTGTACTTCAAATAGATCCTTCTGAGGCTTCTAACTAAGATATATATCTTATATCTCTAGTCATAGGTTCAAATACCCCTGTCCTGTACAAATCTCTAAAAACTCTACCCAGTCTCTCTCTCAAAACTAAAGCTCTTAACTTTAAACTTCAAATAGCACCTCTCACCTTTCATCTTCAATGATGAAAAATTCATAATGAATAGAGTTTTTTTGTAAAAAAAAAAGGATTCCCTTTTAAATAAAAATATATGCATAGTGTTGACAAAAGGAAAGTTCTCTCCCTCTTGATTTTTTTGTGTTATTTGTGAGCGTGATGAAATCATAGCTACAGCAACTTTCAATGCATTATTTATGAATGCAGAAATTCCAGGAAGCTCGACCTTTAGCAAAGGGTATTCAAAAGAGTGGGTGGTGGCAGTGGGATGGAATGGTGGAACAGTCGAGGCCTGGATGGATGTCGAGCGTGAAATTCGAACGCTCCGATTGCTTCATACTACGTTGTCGGATTCAGATGGCGATTTTACGCTGAAGGTCAGAGGACATGGGGGGTGGGGACAGAGGCCAAGGGGTCAGGGGGGCAATACCAGCTAACAGGCAAGAGGTAAGAGGTAACTGGTAACAATACACTGACGACGACGATAACTGTTGCTGGCTAATCATCCATCCAACTGGCATTGTCATCGCGGCGACAAGCAACCAATTATGCACAAAGTGCAAGGGGGGAATTGTGCAAGGGGGGGAGCCATGGGGCATGCAACCAAACATATTTGCCTAATTTCCCAAATGCGTAATCCATGATTCGAACTTGGGGGCCATGCCACTGAGGCATCATGTTACTTTCATTGGATTTTCTTTCTTTTTGTGGAGGTTTTTTTTGGAAATTTATAGTTACAACTTTATACCTTTTTTAAGTTGTTAATTATAACTTTTTTTTAGCAACTTTTAGTCGTTTTTTAATAAACTTTTTATAACCAAACTTAGCATAACTTGCCTGATACTTGACCGGGTTACACGTGATATACCTTGCCGATCTCATCTCTTCGAGTATTATTATTTTATTTAAAAACCCGGAGGTCAAAATTTTTAACCAAATTTTTAAATTCATTTTTCACAACAATTTTTAAATTTTTTCTAAAAATCAATAACATTTTTGTTGTCTATATTTTGTGGCAATTAAAAGGAGAATAAATTTCTTATTCATAAATGGTACTCCTTTTTACAATCTTATGAATATTGCCTAAAATAAGAAGAACTGTGCAAAAATCCTTACTATCTACTCTAACTTGGCCAATTCCCATACTATATTCAATATTCCCTACTCATAACTTCGGCAATTCTCGACAGATTTTTAAATGCTATACCTTCTCGATCTTATCTTTTTCAGTAGAATAATTTTTTATAAAAAACTGGTAGTCGAAATTTTCACATAATTTTCACAAATTTTTTAAGGGTACCTCACACTTTTTTTTGACAAAAATCTTTAAAATTTATGTTCCCCATATATTAATGTAGATCGACGAGGAATATTTCTCTGATTCGATAATGATATTCCGTTTTGAAATCGAATAGAAAATGATGAAAATATAGTCTAAAAACTATGTAAAAATCGTCACCTTCTTGGGTCTCATTTAAAGCCCTAACTAATAGACCTTTTCGTATGCCCAACTTGCCATAACTTGGCCAATACTAAACCGAATCGCAAATGTTATACCTTCCTGATCTTTTTCCTTCATCGCCTTCATCGTTACTATCGTTTTAAATAAAAAATAGGCTTTTAAAATTTTGAACAAAATTTTGAAAATTTTCAAAGGGTACATCACAAAAAATTGCCAAAAATTTATAAAATTTATGGTCTTCATATTTTAATGCAGACTAAAGTAGAATCGAGTCGTGATTCAGAAATTTTACTCCCTTTTAAAATCGGACTAAGAATGTTCAAAATATATAGATTTTATAGTCATATTTTTGTTAAAATAGGTATAAAGACTGACCTAATTTGTTAGAGTATTTTTTAGTTTATTTAAGAATTTTAAAAATAAAAACCATAATAAATAAAGCAAAAGCTAAGCCATTAAAATACTCACTTGACTTGTATGGTATTTATTAGCTATTTTTTGCCATTATTATTATTATTTTATTATATAATATTAACCATTTTATAATTATAATTTTTGTAATTTTATTTTATTGATAATTTTATTTTGGGTTTGTGAACAAAATAAACACTTTTTATGAAGAAACATAAGCATATTCCCCATTTCTGCCACCCAGCAAGGACACAAACCCACAAACAGTGGCATACCAAATATTAATCTCCCCTATAAATCCAAGCTATCTTCTTGTTGCAGTCATTAAATATTTGTTTATATTGTAGAGAATCTTGAAATCATTTTGTATAAATGTTGGTATCTATTAGCCATATAATTTAAATGACCTATCAAGGTTGTGGTTCATTTCCAGGTGCATTTCGTAAACCAAACAAACCGCAAATGTTCTGTCGACGCCACCACCTTCACCGCCGTGCCGCACTACCTTTTCTGCTCCTCCCAGGTTTGGTTTCAGTTCAATTTCATCAGTCGACCTCTCCGGTTCTGTCGGTGTTTTTCAAAATATCCACATTTCCTGAGCCCAATTAAGCCCTTTATTTTTGGTTTTTTTGTTTCTTTTTTCTGTGAGTTGTGAACCCCCAATTTTTTGTGTCTTTCGGGCCTTAATTAACGTGGCTTAGATTGTGGTATTGACGTTTTTGGCTAAAAACAGCTGGTGTATTAACAAAGTTCCCAGTTTCCCTTGTCGTTCGGCCAGAACCAACTTTTCAGCAGAACGGTGAGTAAACAACACAGATCGCGGTCTATCATAAAACACGCGAGCCGAGGGCGTTCAAATAGTGCACTGAGAACTATTTTTAAAGGAGGTTTATAGTTGAAAAATTTCAACAATATAGTTAAAATAATATTTTGTAGGGTGCAGTTTTTAGCAAAACATTTATTGATATATTTAACTTTAAGAGGTAAAATTTATAAAAATGTTATTTAAAAAATAGAATAAATTTGCCTATACCTTTGGTTTCTTAAAATATTGAAAATTTTCAACTTTTAATACCTTGAACTATTTTATTAAATTTATTAAATGAAGATTTAATTTTTAAATTACCAATACAATCTCCATAAATATATTTTCTTTGCAAAATATAAAATGTTATACAAAGAATACTATTTTATTAAATATTTCTATATTTTAATACCTTTATTTATATATTTTTTTAATTTTTTATATTTTTCTTAAACCTTAAATGATCTTCAAAAATTCAAAATAATTCTAAGTGCATGAGAGAGACAGAGGAGAGAGCTTGTGAAAGCCGTCTACAGTCAGAACTATAGTGGGAAAAAGTGAGAGGGAGACAGAGTGAGAACGAGAGTGAGAGAACGAGAGCCATTGACAGAATGTCTGACAAATGTGGGAAGAAAAATTTTTTGGT